ATATATAATAGGCTTGTTAGCTCTCCAATAGTGTTTTTAATTATTGACTAAATTTGTATGAAACGCATACTTACAATCTCAATTTCATTGACTTTATCCTACCACTAGAAAAACACCTTTTTGAAAAGCGTGAAAGTTGGTGGTATTCAATTGTTATTTAGAAACGTGGTTTTTGAGGTGTGTCCTTGTTCTGTAACATGTGTTTTGATAAAGTAAAGATAAGTACTTCGAGCTGAGTAGCTAAGTTCCGAGTGATCTGGGAATTTGTAAATGTTTTTTCTTATTTTTTTACAGCAATTACAAAATTTTTCTTCTTCGTCTTGGAAGATGCCGCAAGTGTTGCTCATTTAATGTTGCTCGGTGGGCACCTGTGAACCTAAGACAAGAAGTCGAACAGCATTACCCACGCCACAATGCACACAGATACCCGTTTATAGGGTGGGACACATTCACACAACAGAGAGAACAACACACAGAGAGAAACATCACTGCTCTGAGAGGGATTCGAACTCGCAACCACTTTCTTCGCAGTCTGGCACGCTGACTGCTCGGCCACCTGGCCGGCTTATGAAAAAAATAAAATGAAGATTTATATTAACAAATAGCGTTTCTAAATTACAAAAGTTAATCAGAAAAAGTACTTGTTCGCCACATTAATTCTGCTACTTAAATTCGACCATAGAAATATATTACCAAATGGGTGGAAAGTTTTGGATTTAAGTAAGTGCTAAATTAGGAAATTTCAAATATTTTTAATAATAGTTCATTTATACTTCAATATTTTTTGGCGTTCGTTTGGGATTCCTTCAGAAATTGGCCTCCATAAAAAATATTGAGATTTCTTGTTTTTATACCTAAAATAATTTTTTTCTCGTAGGGAAAAAGACCATTGCCAGAAGCCATTTTCGTTGTCAACATGATTTATTTTTCATTCGTGTATATTCAGCTTTTCTTAACTATGTTTGTGGATCACAGGAGCTTTGATTCTTTCCAGGTAGTTAATTTTATTTTTCCTACTTCTATTTAAAAAATAGTTGTGCTTACGATTAATTTTCTTACAATAACGTCTAGCAATGGAATAAAAGCAATGTATATGTTCTATTTTTACAAGATAAATATCTTACCACTTTTTAAGTAAAAAAATAAAAATATTTACAATTACTGTATTAGGAATACTGTACTAGCCATAAAAGCAACTCCATTGCCTGCTTACCTCATTGCTCAACCAAAACAGTTCTAAAATTCCAGATGAATGGGATAGGGGCCGCTTCGCGGCCCAGGTGCCCAATAAAATAAAAACACTAGGACTAGAATACTGTACTAGTGTTTCAAGAAAATAAAAAACTAGTAGCATGTTATGAACTTTTTAAGCGAATTTTTCAAGTTTTGTAAAAAATTGTTAAATTTGTTTATCCAAAGGTAATTCCATGTAGAAAATAGATTTTTAGTTAATATTTATTATTCGCTATTATATTATTAAATAAGAGTCGAAAAAAATTTTAATTAAATGGAACACAATTTTTTACATCATGTTAAAAAATGTAATTTTAAATTGCAAAATCTGAGAGAAATCGGTCGAATTGTTCCTGTAAAATCAAATTTTGTAAACATGAATTTTCAAAATTCAATTTCTAAGGAATTATTTGACCGATTACTATCCACATTTTGTAGTTAGTCATTTGAAATCACATGTAAAAAATTGTATACCTTCCAATTCAAAATTTTTTCGTCTAGTGTTAAATAAAATAATAAGTATTAACTAAAAGCTATTTTTGAATGAAATTATCTTTAGATGAACAAGTTTTATAATTTTGTGCAATTTTTTTTTTTAATTAGACAAAACTTTTCGAGATATGGCGAGATACGCAAAAAGTAAAATTAACATTAAGGAGTCAAAACTTTGGATAGCTCTCCTGACCAATTGTTTCCCAGATTGCGTCGACCCCCTATATTTTGAGGGTCAAAATTCGAATCCGCCGAAAAAGGCAGAGAAAATAAGTGTTTGTGTCTGATTTCGTAACTTAAGATATTGTCTTCATTTTTGAGATTACCTCTAGAACATTTAGGATTGAGTCCCATGTGAAGATCCGATCATTAGATCAAAAGTTGTTCTGTGTGGCCCACTTTTTATTTAGATCTATGTTCATAGAGATTGTATTTGTTTTTCAATTTTTGTTTTGTTTGTTGATAATATTTTATCTTTTAAATCTTTAGGACGCTAAGGTTATCGAAGATGTGCCATTTATTTCTTATGTTACCATATCCTGGTTCATCAAGTATGTTGAAAACTTTATACAGTTTAATTGTTTCCTATTCCTGTAATTCTGAAAAGTGTTGTTATCAGATCGCTGCGAATTAGTTTAAAAAGGAAAAATATTGAGTAGTCGAAATTCGTTATCATGTGTGGGAAGTATAGTTCTTTAACTTATTCTGCACACTACTATTTTTTTTTGACAAAGTAATTTAACCCTTTAACGCACAGATTTTTTGAAAAAAACCAGCCAAAAAAAATAAAATAAAATTCGTGTCTTAAAATATGATTTGCACTGATTAATTAGTATAATTGAGGTCACCCCCTTCAAACCATTAGGTTGAGTCTTAGAACGTGAAAATCCGATCATTAGATCAAAAGAGGTCCAGTGGTTATTCATGTCCAAAAGTAGTTATCTGGAACAGTCTGTTATTTTATCGCGTTGTACATGATATACACAGAAGAACTGATTTTTAACAGATCTTAAATGCTTTCACGGATCTTAAATATTTTCGCTCAAGTATTTTTATTATAATATTTTAATGCTTCTTTTTAATTTCCCTAACTTAAAAAAAGGTACTGATACAAAAAATTAAGATAATTTTAGCTCTTATAGTATTTTCAGTCGAATTATTAGACTTAATTAGTAATTTAAATTACTGACTAATTTCAGCGTGGTTGTAGTATTTCCTACCTATTAAAACCTAGCTTGTCTTCTAGGTTCGTCTTTGAAAGTAGACGGAAGCTTCTAACTGTACTTGATCTAAAGTTTATAAGTGTCCGACTAGTGGCCATATTTGCATACTCAGAATTCCTGAAACGATGGAACATAAACAAGTGCGTAAACAAGAACATTTTAAAAACTTTACAAACGATGTCTCCCAGTGATTCTTTACTGACGTAGACAATATTTTCAGGGAACCAAAATCTCTTGAATCACGAAGTTTAGGACTTAGTTTAATCAAAACCTTCTGGCCTTGGATAGTGGCTGCTACGATTTTCAATTTTCTTTTTACGTTGTCTCTGCTTGTACCACCTTTACTTTTAGAGTAAGTTTATTAATATTTCTTATTTTAGAGAAATCTAAGAATGATTTGAGGAACAAAAATCACACCTATTAGCAGCGCAGCGACTTTCTTCGATTTTCTGAAATAAAATATTCTAGTGGTAATTTTTTTAATTCATTTCATCTTATCTTCCACACCACTACATATAAAAGACTTTAAAATTTTTATTCAATGTTACTTTTTCTATTACTAAAAATTCTGCAAGGTTCGGTTTTCAAACGTCTACCACTCGGTGAAATATTTAGCAAAAAGCGTAGTAGTTGGCGGGCCTGCAAGATTATTAAACATGATATATTATTGAATTAATATGGATTCACTATGATTCGAAACAACTTTAAAAATTCGTTTTAAAAGTTTTTGATAAATTGCGAAAAATTCGTCTTATTTGTACCTATTATAGAAATTTTCAATTATGCGAAAATACATTAGAGGAAAAAACACTTTGATAAGATTATAGATCATTCAATGCTACCCTTTATTTCCTTTTTTTCCAGATGGTAACAACCCCGGAAAAATTTACCTTTTATTTACCTAAGTAATAAAAAAAATGTTAAAAATTTGAGAAACTTTTTTTTACATTATGCATAGATACCAACTTGCACCGTTTTGTAAATTTTTTTTATTGAAGTGGTAACGAAGTTAAAATTTTTTTTTAGTTTAGAATTTTTTATTTAAACTCGTTTTTCCACCACTACATATCGGAAATTGAAAGTATGATACAAATGTATCTTAAATTACAACCCCGTAAAATTTACCTTTCATTTACCTAAATAATAAAAAAAAATGTTAAAAATGTGAGAAACTTTTTTTTACATTACGCATAGATACCAACTTGCACCGTTTTGTAAATTTTTTTTATTGAAGTGGTAAAGAAGTTAAATTTTTTTTTAGTTTAGAATTTTTTATTTAAACTCGTTTTTCCACCGCTACATATCGGAAATTGAAAGTATGATATAAATGCTTCTTAAATTACTACCCCGTAAAATTTACCTTTCATTTACCTAAGTAATAAAAAAAAATTTAAAAATGTGAGAAACTTTTTTTTACATTACGCATAGATACCAACTTGCTCCGTTTTGTAAATTTTTTTTATTGAATCGGTAAAGAAGTTAAATTTTTTTTTTTTAGTTTAGAATATGTTATTTAAACTCGTTTTTCCACCACTACATATCGGAAATTGAAAGTATGATACAAATGCATCTTAAATTACAACCCCGTAAAATTTACCTTTCATTTACCTAAATAATAAAAAAAAATTTAAAAATGTGAGAAACTTTTTTTTACATTACGCATAGATACCAACTTGCACCGTTTTGTAAATTTTTTTTATTGAAGTGGTAAAGAGTTTTAAATTTTTTTTTAGTTTAGTATTTTTCATTTTAACTCGTTTTTCCACCACTACATATCGGAAATTCAAAGTATGATACAAATGCATCTGAAATTGCAGTTATTCGTGATGATACATTTAAAGAGTAGGTGTAATTTCTTATTCTACTAGTTTTGCGATCGAATTCGCAATCAGTTTATTAAAATTTTGGCAGAAAGCGGAGTAGTTGTCTTCTCCGCATTACGTGATGGCTATTCTGCACTTCGAGAATCATTAAAAAAATCAATTTAATTTTCAAATCGGAATTCTCGGGACTTTTTATATATTACTGATTATTCTTTGAGAGCAAAAATTAAACCGTAAAAACATTAAAAATAACGAAATTTTTATGTACTGATTGTTTTTAATTCTAAAGATTGATTAGAAATGTTAAAATGTAAACCACAGTATAATTAAACAAATTGAAATTTATGATTATTATTTGCGATTGTATATTTCTTATACAGGTGTGTCAGGATTCAATAGAATTTTAGCCCACATAATTTTGATTTATTCAGTTTTCAAGACTTTATCTCTCATATATTAATATACGCTTGTAAAAAATCGTGTTCACGTAACTTAGATAAAAAAAAAATACTACTCTAACTTAGTAAATATTCTAATAAAAGCACCAAAACCGCATAAAATAAGTCATTACTATACTCAATACTATTGAGAAAATATAGATTGCAAGAGTATAAAACTCGTTGGTCCCAAGGAAAGATCAACTCATTATAAAATTTTAATTAAAGTCGAATATTTAATATTTCGTTTCCTTACTGGTTGAAAATGTTAATGAATTAATAAAAAATATGAAAGACTTACTGGCAAAATAGATCGAGATATTATTCAAAGCTGAGAATTAAAAAGCGAAGATTAATTGTAAAATTTCAACCTCGAGCGAAATATTAACCCTTTAGTTCCACAGGCAAAGTTTAACTGCAACTTTTTTTTTGCTGTCAACTATGCAGTTGTTATGATAATTGGAAAGTCAAATTGAAAGAACAAACAAGTGACAATACGATATTCAAATCCGTTTCATAGCTCTAAAGAAATATCAGTGGAGCTTTTAAGACCAAACGGTTTCTGGAGGACAAGGACACATTCTCCCACATTTGAGCTTCGATTGATGCTTGCAAATAATTGTGTAGGAAATTTATGCTATTTTTCACTTACTTTCAGACAAAAAGTGACAATTCAACTTCAGCGGTATGTTAACAATTTAAATAACGTTATTTAGTTCTAAATATTGTGACCAGGGGTGAAAGCGAGACGGAAAAGAGGAAAGGCTGGTAGTAAAACCATTTCAGTTATAGCTAGTTTTGGGGAGGAGTTTACTTATTCTTTTTTTTAAATTTTTCAACAATATCTACTTTATCTTGGAAAAGAAGCAGTTTTATATATATGCCAGAATTATAAAAGAAATTTTGATAGTTACAAATATTTCATTTTTTTCGAAAAAAATGCTGGAATGCAATGTTTTGCGTACCAGGTTTTTCTCTTTTCCGTCTTGCTATATAAGGGCTTTCACCCATGATTGTGACGAATTTTTAAAATATGTTTATTAAATTCAAACAATTATAAAATTATAAAAATTTATTGATTCTTTCTTTCTTTATTTTTACAGTCGTCTCATAGACTTTGTTGAGCATGATCATTTTGCATGGAGGGGTATGCTGTATGTGAGCTTGTTCTGCATAGTTGATGTCTTTGGAAAAATAGTTGATAATTTCAGAGTGTACTTCTTCTTTTACGCTGGTGCTCAGATGAAGTCAGCTCTTATGAATGCAGTCTATAGAAAGGTAAAACAATGCAATTATATAATCTTAGTATTGTATGATAAACTAGTGCCCGTCATCTAAAACAGATGGATTAGAGAAACCGAACCTATGAAACATTTTACCGCACTGACATATACAGTTACGTTCCAAAAATACACATTTTCATGTTATATTTTTTGGAACGTAGCTGTTACAGTTGTTGCTATATGAGGAAAATCGTATTTCGAGCTGTTTATTCTGCTAATGCTTCTGCTTAAATCAAGTGAAAAGCTTATCATCAATTCTATTTGACTTTTAATTAAAAAGTTTTGGAGTAATATTTTGATTAAATTTTCTACCCAAGCAAACATAAAACTAATAATAAGAAAATTAATGATTTAAATAAAGGCGAAATTGCCGAATGCAACGATAAATTTGACAAATGTGATATCTACTTCGAGAAACAAGTAAATATTTTTAAAATGAACAATAATACATCCGAAAGAACTCCGTAAATGAAATGATTACTGGTAATCTAAAATTTTTGCAAATATACAAGTTCCTGTTTAATATACAAAGCTCCTGTTTAAAGCTTCACAAGTTTGTTGTTCTGCTACACTTTCAATGAAAAAGAGCTTTATTTTTTAATTTTTTCCTGTTTTCGTTAGTAATAACGGCTTGGCATCTTTATACCATCTGAACATTACTCTCTAACAAGGAAAAGCAGAAGACTATAGTGGGAGATTTAGTCTACTCTAGCACGGTTTACATCGTGGTTCAATTCCTTTTTCTGGAGGCTGGGTGTCTGATCAGAATGTACTTTCGCTCATCATCTCGTAGTGGTTTGAGGAAGCAATATCTGACGTTTGGGTGGTCAGGGAGCTTGGTTCGTAGACCAGGAAAATACAATCACCATATGCCCTCCATTCTTAAGTGTGGTAACATTGTGCGCATGAGCCATTATTTTCTCCAGATCACCAATAAATATGAACTTCATACCGTCTTATTAGTGCAGCGACTTTAGTAACTAACATATTGGAATTGAAAAAAATATACAATAATGGTGCTATACGCAGAGATGCCAACTGCTCCGGACAAGCCAAAATAATTTTTAAAAAACGGTAAATAACTACGAAGCAAATTTTGCAAATATTTGAATAATTTTACTTGCTTTTTAAAGGGTATAGCATGACATAAATATTAAAAAGTGGTGAATTATATAAGTCTATAAATTGTTTAGTAACAGTGGTGGATGAATATCTACTAAATTGAATTTATTAAACCAAGAATCACAAATGATAAACTACCACTTTAAAATATATATTTGCTGTCCTGAGCAAGCTGGCATCTCTGCTATATGTTGCAAAATCATCAGGGCTCTCACGACCTGGACAAAACAAATGAGTGGTAGCTAAGAATTTTCAAGACTACCAATATGTATCTCACATTTCGTCGCTTTGAAACTAAACCGTTGTAACACAAAAAAGTCGAAAAATGAGATTTTTGGGTCATTTTGTGTAAAAAACGTCACCCTTTTAGAAAAACAACCTGTTATCTTCATAGTTCCATAAAGTTAATTTAGAGAGCAGATAAATCGTCATCGCATTGCTGCGATTAGCATTAGCGCGGAAAGTTTGAAATCGCTCTCCTGAAAAACTTGCTTTTTCGAGTTACCACGGTTTAGTTTCAAAGCGACGATTTGTGAATGATGGAATAATTCAAGAGTAATTTTCTGAGTCTATTTATATTTCCTTTAAATTAAATACTTATTGATTGCCTAAAACATCTCCTGGCTTTTGCTACCACTTTACTTTTCCAGACCGTGGGTACCCTTAATTATTCTATGAATAATAATTACTTTCTCTAATATTTGCAGAACTTTTTATTGTCACCTGCTGCTCGTAAAGAGTTTACCAGTGGATCTATATCAAATCTTCTATCGGTGGACATTCAAAGACTTACCTATTTCACTTATTACTGCGCAGATTTATTAACTAGCCCAATCAGAATTGTTATCATCCTTGTAATTATGTGGCAGTACATTGGAATAGCTACACTTGGAGGTCTAGCTGTAATAATTATCTTACTTCCTGTTGGTTACTTCGTATCAAGGTACAGCGAAAAATTTACAGTAAGTTTCAGCTTTAGTTCGTTTTTTTTGCATGGAAGTTATGTTAGCCCATTAAATTGCCCACCTACAAAATGTGGTCTTTATATGAGGAACACTTATGTAAAAAAAAGAAGGATTCCATCTTTCTGTTAACTGCTCCTTTCTCTTTAAAAAGACACATGGGTATAGATTTCAAATCAAGTATAAATATTGTTATACTTAATATGTTATGATAGATAGAACTATTTTTTTAAAATAAATCAATAAAAAAACATTTTAACTCTAACTTATATTATTTTTGAAAAAAAAGGAACTGTTCTTTTTAAAGGACGCTAGGCATAAATGAGATAATACATATTGTTTGACATTTTGCACATAGTTTATAAACAACATAGTCTAATTGAATTATTTAACTTTTTGATTAGAATGCCAAGCTTTTCAGAGTGCCTAGCTAATTGAAACAGTCTGCAGTATTTTCAATTAGAAATTAATTAATTTATTCCTCTATTAGCTTTAGTTTGATTGTAATGAGGAGTAATGTAAATAGACTGGTTATAGTTTCATTGCTGTAAACTTAAGCTATTTTATTGTTACAATCTTAATTTTTGGCACATTTCCTAATTAGCCTAAGGGCAGAGAGGCTGATAGTAATTAGTTTAAATTCAATCAGGTAGATTAGAAAACGCTTAAGACTTTTCCAATTAGCCATATGCATTTCGAAATGCTGACTATCTTTTTTTTTCAAGAGCTAGATTTTTCAATTAGCTAGCGTCATATGTATAATTCTCATGTGTTTTTGTTTTATTTTTACAAAGGATGAACAAATGAAAGTTAAAGACACTCGACTGAAGTTTATGAATGAAATCCTCAGCGGTATAAAGGTAATAAACAGCATTTCCAATTATATTCTTTATAGAGTTCCGGTGTATTGATTCAGTATTCGTATTGAGTTAATCTTTGCTTATGAAACAATAACGTAAATAATCCATCAAGCTAATTTAATCAGTAAAATGCTTAACCTTCAGTTAATCAGTTAAATATTTAATATATTATTTTTCTTTACATTTTCATCAATAAAATAAATAGGGCAGCTATTTATTTTCCCTGGTTTTGCATGAATCATTTTTTAATTTCTTTATAATCAGTGAGAGAGAAAATGGGGATCTCTTTTCAAAAATCACATTGAAGTTGTAAAATTATATGAAACTATGAATGAAGGCTTTAAACTACTGCAGTATAAAAATTATTTCCACGGTCAAAAACATGAACAATCAATAACAATAAGGAAAGTATAATTATTTCTGAAGTAACACCATGAAGGAGGTGTTAACATGGTGAAGTAACACCATGGTGGCACCATGAAGTAGCGCCTTACAGAAGTGTATAACAAAAAGTCACATTTCAGATGTAAAAATCTTCTAACCACTTTCTATGGATAACTCAAGGATAATACTAAGAATACTGTATTAATAAATTATTTTATGTATATTTCTTCATACTTTAGTTGACTAAAAACATTGATTATTATTGCGCATAAGCGACTTCATTGTTTTGAGTTTTGTCTACACACCACAAATTCATGCTCATGGAGAAATGTTTTATAAAATGTTCTCAAAACATTGATTGTTTGTAAAATTTGCCCTAAGCTGTGGCGATTTCTAGCTGCTTAAAAAATATAAAATGGTAACAAAATCGCAAAGTGTGTATAAAATTTCCCTTTAACACAAAAAGTGTTCCTTATCAAACAAAAGACATCCATAAACTTATAATACAGTATTCATTTAAAACTTTATCATTTATTCCGAATGTAATTTCATTCCTATTTCGTAAAAGAGAATAAGAATTTTAAATCTTTATTTCCTTTCAGATATTGAAATTATATGCCTGGGAGGCGACTTTTTCAGCTAAAATATCTGAGACCAGAAAAAAAGAGCTGAAATTGATTTTTTACTCTCAAATGTGTACAGTGGTTAATGTTTTTCTTTTTTACTGTGCACCCATCATGGTAAGAAAACTATTTTATTAGTTATAAATTAGGAAGAATGTTATGAGAAATTTTATGAAATTTTTTATATTACCTAATCAAAATAAATGTTTGGGAGAAATAGTAGATGGTGAAACAATGAAAGATGTTTCCCGACCAAGATCACCACCTCCTACATCAGAAAGCCTCCACATGGTTTCTTATAGGCACTCTTATAGGTATAGGTGCAGATTGTTTAAAAAGGGAACTAGTGGTGTGCATGAAAAAATACTCATACTTATATGTGGTAGTTATCTTAGCATCAACCCAGCGAGGGGCTCTAACTAATTCATCTGAGTGGGAATGTATGATAAATCGTCGAAGCGCAATTGAATGGTGAAAGTTGGGGTTCAGTAACATTAAATAGAAACTGAAGAGAAAATTAAAATAAAGTAGCGAGATTAAACAAATAAACTGAAGAGAGAGAAGAGATTTTTGTGGCATATATCTATAGAATATATATACATATGTGTATACCAAATTTGCCTTTAGCATATTTTAATATGTGTTTATTATTTAAGTTTGTGATCTTAGCATTTTATATAAGTGCAATAGACAGCAGTTGTAAACATAAGTATTTTCCTTCAATCAACTCATTAATTGTTCTAATGCCATTAGTATTAATTTGAAAATCATTTTAATACTTAAAAAAGCGCTTGTTATAAAAACACAATTGTTTTAGAAAAAATTGGTCAATAAACTTTTTGGAGATAGTTTTTTTACTTATTTATTTTTTTAAAAATATTTTTGCGTAACTCATCAAAACACAAACTAACTTCGAAGCCTTTTATTACATTTTTATTTATGTTTATTATTTAAAAGAAGCACGTAATACGTGATAATACGTAATACTAAAATCAGAAATAGATAATGTTTAACTAAATATTTTCTGGAAAATGTGTTTCTTACTCGTTAGCTCTATAAATTCAATTCCCAACCGTTGCTGTTAAAGATCTCTCGCCACCAGATTAGCCATGAGAGGTTTTCGAGGTTTTTTCTCTATGGAACGCAAGTATGAATTAGTTTCCTAGATAATATTGATTGCATAAAAGCAATTTTGCCCCTTATTATTTTTTTTATCTAGTAATTACTTGTCTTTTGGAGGTTCAAAATTACTAGAACACAGTGTTTGAATTCTAACATTAAGAAAAGCTAAACCGAAGAAAAGTCAACTTTCAACCCTTTTGGGAAAAATTTCTCCTAGTCGTGAAAAATGTTTATGTTTCAATTTCTGATTCTTTGTTTCGTAAAATTTATTTTTCGTTCCATTACATATGATTCAAAACTTTTTGTGATGTAACTCTTTGTTCCAGTTCTCTATTAGAGAAGTTCTAAAAAATGTAGCAAAATTGCTAATTCTGAGAAATTTAGTTTTCTTGTCTATCACTCTATAAATTTATTTTAAAAAAAAGGTATTAACACGTTGAGCGCCGCGTCAGACATCGGTGGTTGACACTGAACTTTCCATTTAGGCCGCGTCAACCACCCGTGGCTGACACTGAAATTACATTTAGGCTGCGTCAACCAACACTGAAATTACATTTAGGCTGCGCCTGCCACCGCTTGCTTACACTGACCTTTCACATAGGCTGCGAAAAACAGCTGGCTGACAGCGTATAACATGCTATAGAACTATAAAATTTACACTCTTTTATGGAATTGCAGAAAATTTATTCAAAATTTACTTAATTATTGTGATTCTTGGTTTAATAAATTCAATTTAGTAGATTTTTATCCACCACTATTTTTAAGCAATTCGTAGGCNATTGTGTTTAATTTATCAAGCAAAGAGCTTGACTTTTTTAAAAGCTACCATAATGTCGCTTACATCAAAATGTTTAAATCAATGTATATAGTTATTTCATGATGTATGGGATAGGGGCCGCTGCGCAGCCCAGGTGCCCAGTTTTTGGTAGATAAAGTAAGTAAGTAAGCAGATATGTCATGATGAACCTTCTAAAAAAATAGCAAAATCTGTCTAATAATTGCAAATTTAGTTTGTAGTTATTTACCGTGGCCTAACGGGCAAGCCATGTAAAATTAGCGTGGCGTTTAACGTGTTAATCAGCAACTGTGACATTTCTGAAAAATAGTGTAGTAATTAGCAGCCTAAACTGCAAGGTTTTATTGAGTTTTACGCTGTACGAAGTTCAAAAAAAGCTTTGTCCCTTTGACTTTTACAAAGTAGTAGAATATTTTTTAAATGTAACAAAGTTTCATGCGCTTTATTGAATAATACATTAAATAATAATAGAAATACCTGAAACAGGAGAAAATTTTTTCTACTGTTTTAAGTTTTCTATTTTATTCGTCAAATAAAGGTATGTTTATTTGGGGGAAACTACATTTTTGTGTCTGATTTCGTAACTTAAAATATTGTCTGCAGTTATTTACTGTACTTATTATTCCTCATATTTGAAGTCAAGTTCTCGAGCCATTACGATTGAGTAACAGAACGTGAAGATTCAGTCATTTCCTCAAAAGTTATTAAAAATAATTCGGTTTTTTATCCCCACTGTGCGTCTGAACAAGACAAAATTTCCGCCCAATTTAAATTTCACTCGATCATGACATTAATCTTTTGCACTGCAAAATGGAAAAAAAAAACACTCAATGAGCATGTGCGAAAGAAAAAGTACCACAACTCTGAATAGTATTCATGTGAATGTGTCTGTAGACGACAGTATAAATTAAAAGCCAAGCACTGTCACTTGCCACAAGCGAACAAAATGGTAAGAAATTATTCAACGGATTGTGAAACTTAATGCCGGAACCTCGCAATTTTTTTTACAATATTTGTAATTTTGCTATCCTCTATGCTTGGGTAATTTTCGAGAAATCTTTGGTCGCTTTTATTACGGATTGCAAGTTTATTCTTGTGCTTGAACTGCTAAGTAGAATTTTAAGCATCGGGTAGCCCTAGATTCACAAAATTCAGTCTCTAAAATAAAGAAACACATCTTTTAACATTGCAAGGGACAAAATAAAACTTGTGAGCCAAGCTGGAAACCATTTTGTTGTCACTTTTACGTCGCTTGGATATATCATAAGTCTTCGATAATGTTGGAACTTTCACATCTTGAAATATGTGTGCCAATACTCGTTGTTTATATTCATGTATTTTATTTATTTACGTATGACTTGTGATCCTGCTGAGGAATAATCTGCGATACAATACTATACTGTATTGTTATAATGTCATTACTTCCGTCAGGGCTGAAAGCCTATATATATCGAGACGGAAAATAGTAAAAACTGGTAACAAATAAATTTCATTTTTCAGGGAATAATAAAAATACCAATCTATAACTACCAATTGTTTTTAACGGATGAAATTTTTATATTGAATTGCTTCTTCGTCATGAAAACTTCTTAATCATAAATAGTAAGAAAAAAC